TTGCACTTGCTCTGCACTCTGTTTTCATTTATATACACGATTGCTTAGATGCAGGGGAGTGGAGAGACCAGGCACATAAAACTGAGGCTGCAGTGGGAAGTTTTGCATGCAGTGTCACAGGGCTCCAGCTGCAGAAAGCAGATTTCACACAAAGTTGAAAGCCTTTCTAGAGACAGGGCACTGTCCGAATTGTATTTAACTTGGAAGCGAAGCTTCCCCTGAAGGACAGTAACAAACTGATTAAAAATAATTAAAAAGAAGCCCCATTAGGGAAAGTTGAAAGAACTGAATCTGCTCAGATTAGAAAAAGATTAAGGGAAGAAAACAAATGCCTACAAATACTTAAACAGGATGTTACAAACGGCACAGGGATTAATTTTTGTCCTTAGTCAACAAGACAATAAGAAATAACGGACTGCAGCAGAGACTGATTACAAAATACCAAATGACTCAATTTGTAACATTTGGATTTGCAACTGCTGCTGGAAGTTCCCAAGACTGAGGGGTCTTCAGAAATGGGTCTTGGTGCCTGCACAAGGGAGCTAGCTGCTAATGCTGGCTAATCATACATTAAGAAGAATTTTGAGAACAGTAAGCTCAATATTTCTGCAATGCATCAGAAAAATTATGATGTGACATATGGTAAGAAGTGCCTGTCAACTCAAATGATTCTATGAACTGACTGCATGTGAGACAAAGCCACCTGGCAGTTATACTGGGACAAAGTAAACCTTGTAAGACTGAGGCATTATAGGAGGTGTGCTCCTATGAACACTTACTGCTCCCTTCAACAAAGATCAATTCTTCAGTGACGAGTCAACAAAGTTGTTTTGCACAGATTTTCCCCCTGTCCAATATAGTTATTTTACATTAAAAATTTGGCTCCTTATAAGTAATTACCTTACCTGCCACTATAGCAGTGTCAAACTGTTTTCCCTAACATTTTTCTTTTACATTTCAAAAGAAACCAATCTACTCACAAGTCTTATCTGCTGAGCGAGAGAGGAGATCGGAAAGTGTATCGATCTTATTGATGTGAAGTCCTTCTAGGGAATAAAAGTTTATTGCTTTCCTGTCTCTGATTATCTTTTCGTGAGGATGTGGATCACAGGCTGGGAAATAGTACTCCATAAGAGAGGAGACAGGCTTCACTACAGATGTGAAAAGCTGAAGGAGGCATGAGGGGAAGCATGAAGAAGGAAGCAGGAAACTGAAGGTAAAATTTGAAGAGCTACTAGGTGGATTAGGATTCCAGGGCTTGTGGAAGGTCGTACAGCTTTCTAAGTTTCAAACATGCAGGTTTAACCTTGCAAAGTGTGGCACAAGACAGACATAGGTTCCATGAAATTACTAGTTTATTTTTCAGGGCAACATGCTGAAATGTGCTAAGCTCCCTCCATTCCCACTGAGAGGAATGCAGAGATCTAGGTACCTTTCAAAAGCTATTTTTCAGAAAATAGGAAGATATAATTGAAAAACACTTATAGAAAAGTTCAAACCAAGGGAATTGCTCCATTGGCTAAACATTTCCAGCTAAGTAATTCAGCCCAGAGCTTTATCTCTTGTTCTACTGAGTTTTAGGTCAGGCTATTATTTTCAAATTTAAGGAGGGAGCAAAGAAAACTCCCTGCATCCACATGTATGTCCTTGGAAGATTATCACAACAGACACCAGGGACCTGATTAGACATCTCTAAGTCCTCATGTTGTACACATGACTGCATGTGGAAAATCTCAACAGCATGATCAAGATTTTACAAAATAGAAGGTGAGATCCTGACCTTTTGAAATTAATTGGAATTTTGCCATTGACCTCAGCAGGACCAGAATCAAACTTTGGTATCTACCCTGAATTGCAGAGGAGCTAAGAACCTAACAGTGTGCTTGAACTTTGAATGCTCAGCACTTTTAATATTAACCCATTAGCTTACATCATGAAGTTTAAGCAATGACTTCTGAAAATCATCACCTAAAATTTTCTGCTGCAAAATTGTCTGATTTGCAGACAACATTTTCTTATACTATTCTTTAATCTGTACTTTCCTTTCAGTGTAAAAAGGACAACCAATGCTCTATCTCAGGATGTAGTTGGAAAGAGAAGATCTTTAAGTCTGGATTTCTAATTTAATTAACTGTGCAGATTTATTTCCTAAAAAAAGCAGATTTTAATTTCCATGACCTCACTGTGGATCCAGGAGATCTTTCAAAATGTTATCTACTTGAGAAGAGAATAGCTTCCTATCTCTGCACTCTTGTGGAGATGCAGCCCCCAATGGGTTGTCTATGACAAGTCCACCCTTCCTTGGCTGAAAAGACAAAGGTCAGGGAGTGGAGTTATGTTTGAGTCAGACTTCACTAAAGAAACAGTGGCTCACAGGAAGTTTAAAATATTTATTTATATCCTACCCCACTTCCTAAAATTCTTCCTTCACTCTCAGAAATTGAAATTTGCATCTTTTCTATTCTTTACTATCCAGAAATACTCTTCCTTTTGATCTGGCTAGCTTAAGCTGGAATGCCCTTCGCATGGACTATAAAACTTACTGTATAAACCACAGTAGATATGGTTTGAAACACCCACATATGAAATTACAGTGAGAATGTTTAGAGACTGTTTCTACATATAAATATTAAAGCCACAATGCTCTTCATAGTGTGCCCTGTGGTAATTGCCCAATCAACAACTGCCCCCAGAGTAGCACAGACCGCTCTGCAGAAGGAAATACCCATCGCATCTCAGATACTTTCTCTACCATATGGCAAACGCTGATCAGTGCTGGCTTCTATCCATTTTGTCAATATAACGCAAAGAAGCAAAAAGTCATATGGGACAATAATACTCTTCGGATTGTTTACAGCAGCTTAACCAAGTATGTCTGTCACCTCAGGTGTTCAGGTATTTATTCAAACTTTGTATTTCACGACCTTTAAACATAGGTGATACGTTTTTTTCTTTACAAACTGAATTTCCTCCTCCTCAATTACTGAAATTTTATCTGCAGCTCTTATCTTTTGTAGCCTTCTCTAGGAATTGACAATTGTCTGGGAACTGACAATAACAAATACCTTTGTTTCCAAAGCAAGCATTCTATCAAAATCATAATCTAAATGGCTAACTATATGGATGCCCCTAAAAATAATAAACATCAATCTGTATTAATCTCAGGTCTCAATTCACCATACTGTCTCTAAAGGAAAAAGAACAGCTCAGGAAATAAGTGAAGAAAGCTGGCTGAATACCAAGCAAAAGCTAACAGCTAGAATCCAGGTTGCTGCAGGGATGCCATAAAAAAATCAGACCATCTGCAGCAGTCATGGTAGAAAATCATTTAGCAGTGAGTATATGCTTTTGGCTCCTGTTATTAGGTAACGGATAACTGAGTTCTGAATGATTCACATCCAGTCATGCAAATGACGCATGGACCCAAAAGTGTGGGGATTGGCAGGGTCTTTTATAACACGTGCCTTTGGAGAAAATTATGGTAACTTGTGGATAGGTTTCACAATACTAAATGGTATACACTGCCAAAGCTATTTTCATGTTTTTTTTCTGGTATCTTTTACTCTCTCTTATTTCCCCTGAACCACCTATAGATTCTCTCAATCACACACAGACTGGAGGAATGTGAGCTAAATGTGATAAAAAGACAAGTATATTATGTATAGCCACAGTTGAGCAGTGGAGTAGTTTTGCCCAGTTCCTTTTCTGACTTAACTTCTGTTCTTCTTCATTATTTTATTAATCTATACCCTCTTTTCAAGTAAAGGCAAGTTTTGTGCCCTGAGACACAGACTCCCCTTGTGGTTTGATCTCTGCCCTTTATCTCGGGCATTAGAAGGAAGCTAGAGTCACAATTCTAATTTAAATTTACGAGGATAAAGAGACAACTGCTAGCTGTTCCACATAGAGAATATCTATTGCAGATAAGCTAAATCTTCAAAGGGAAATCTTGTAAACGTTAACTCACTGGTGGGTAGAAGGCAGCTTCAGGCTCATGTTTAAGATAGAAGCTGATGTTTATTAACAGTGCAAGCTGCCTCAGTCCAGGTTATCCTTTTGTGTGCTTTGAGTCTTCTTGAGTTAAATTCCATCATGCATTGTAGCATATCCTACCATCTTGGAGAACGAGGTGTCATAATATGCCAGTCCTCAAAGTTAGTTGGAGTCTGGGTTAGCCTTATACAGACGGGACTGAGCTGTGTGTGGATTAAATTCCCGGACCATGACATATTGTTGCAAAAGTTGATGGCAAGACCTGAATCCAGAAACATGTTTATATCTGGTTTACAGGTGAAGGCTAAATCTGATTTTAACTCCTACAGTATAATTGTATTGCCACTGAATTTCCCAACACATTAGGAATTACAAGGTAGAAACTAAAGCTATTGAAACTTCCAGAATTAGGGTAAAGGACAAGATGAGACTGCATTTAGATTAAAGATAATATCATGTTTCGGCTAAACATGTAACCATGATCGATATCAATATTAGAGTTACAAGAATTTATTCTAGTACTATTATGATAAAAGTCTTAATCAGGAGTAGTGCTGGCACGAAAAGGGATTTGTGAGGCCTTTCTTATAAAACCTACGAGCTGATCAGTGAGCCTTTGTAACATTAATGCCACGGGTAGAGCACACAGTTATCTGTCACAAATACTTCTACATCAGTAATCTGGAGACGTACGAGAGATTTCACTCCTGCAGAGAGGGTTAAAGACATTCTGCTCAACAAAGGTACATTGCAAATCTTCAAACCAATAAGCCACATGCCATCTTTCAACATTAAAATATCGATGGAAAGTCAACATTTACATTTGATTTAACTGCACCAGATAAACCCTCCTGTTTTACCCACTAATATTCTGAGTTAATTAAAGCTCTGTGCTAGCAACCATGCCTTCATTATATAGAACAAGCAGGAAAGCTAAAGCCCCAAAGGTTTCAACATAGCCGGAGCAGATGAGCAGGCCTTTCAGCTTATCATTTTCGGATACGTACCCAGTACAGTACATCTGTCCAGCCCTCCATCGTGATGCACTGAAACACCGTCAGCATGGCAAAAGCAAAATTGTCAAAGTTCGTAATGCCGTGCTTAGGACCCTCCCAGCCTGCCTTGCACTCCGTGCCGTTCTGACACTGCCGCCCATGCGCAGACTGGGGGGCACAGGGAGACGGATCATCTTCTGCAGGTGTATCTTAAAGGAGAGGAGGGAGAAAACGGAGATGAAGAGAACTAATTGCTATTTGACACACTGATAAGTGAGTGAAGGATATCCGATTTTAACGAATTCGTTTTGCAGTGAATTTGACAGATTTCTCTAGGAATACACAAGAAACTGTATTAATTTTAATGGGCAGAGAGGTGTTTTGTTGTGCTTCGCTTTCTTTTTGTAAAAATAATGGCCAAGCTGTCAAATTTTACAGTCAAAACTGAAATGTCTTTCAACATGAGAGGGAACACTAGATCAAGTCTATTACATTTCTTTAGACTGCATGTTATGACCAGTGTTTTCATACTGCAGTCACCTGGCATCTGGGTTAATCTTGGAAGGGAACAGCAGCACTGACTGGCACTCTGTTGAGGGAGGCGGAACCCCTGCAGCAGACAGGCTTTGGTGCTCTGGAGATAGGTTGATATGGTCCTGGGCCACTGCTAAATTACAGCAGAGAGTCTCTGGAGCGCTGCTCTTTTGGAGTTTAGAAGCTGTGTGGCATTTTATCAATAGGCCAGTAGTACTCAGAAGCTAAGACTCTACTTGTTGATTATCCACCCCTTATTCTGTACAGGTGTTTCCAAAGATCTGAGAACCCATACAACAAGCCTGCCTAGAAGCTTTGGTATATGCAAAATGCTACAGAAAACATTTTTATAAGCACAAAAATTCCTGCAATAGGATTTTTTTAATACATGGATTTCAGTGCCTATTGCTATATATATAACAGGTGCAGGTATGCATGTGTGGGGGAGCAGGTAATTATGTTTGTTTCTTATCTTATATGGCAAAAAATGTAATTTTTCAAAAGTTCTGATCACATTCTGATCATTAAAGCATGCCAGAAATAGCAATATTAGAATTAGATGCTGTAATGTATAATAACTACAGACAGTATGGGGAAAGATATATACAGTATAAAGATGTAAACCAGACTGACAATTCATTATAGTTCAAGCATCATTTCCAGAAAAGGAAATCTGCCAATTTTATAAAGGTAGAAAATACAGAACTTCTGAAATAATTTTCTGCTGTACAATATTTTCTTAGTTACAAGCTGAACTGGATCCTAGACATTAGCACTCACTACTACATGGGGAATCACTGCTGCTCATGTTGGATAAAACAAATGAAAAAGAGCAGATGGTTAGGTGAGTGAGTGACAATACCGTTGAATTATTTTGAAATGTGAATATCTCATTTGCAGCTCAGTCTGCTAGTGGTGAAGTCATCTCTACTTTAGTGTTGCTTGAGCCTCTGGGAGACTTGTTGAAGAACTCAGGCTGGCTTGTAGTCCCAAAGGTCCACATTAAAAAGTCCACTAGTGTGTT